TTTTATTTACAGCTTGATTCCACACTGCATTTTTGGTACGAGTATGGAATTTTCAGCATGGATATCGGTAGCCCAAATTTTGCAAACCAACCATAGATATCAGGTGTGCGTCGGCAGGGGATCGAACTTCGGGCCATGTGTATGGTCGACGAGAGTCCTAACCACTGTGCCTCTGACGCACAGTATTATTAATAATACTGCAGGTGGCAGAGGAAATGTTATGACGATTCATCCGCCATGTTCTTCCCTTGAAACAACCATTGTATGCGCTGATTTTCTGACAAAGAGAGGCGTTTAATTACCTCGAACTTCGGCAATATGTTTGTCTGTTCGTTGAAGGGTGGGGTGGGGAGTGAAGTTAAAGATCCGTCCTATCCCCCGAATTCCTCAATTACTTATTACATCTGAGTAACCATAGCATAGCGTATTGTCGATGCCCTACACGGCCTTGATGAAGACAATAGTTCCTGTAACTGTCTCGCCATTGCCCATGCTGCCGATGTTCTCTCGGGTGTTAATCGCTCATTGAAAGTTTTCCCACTTACTGGGACTTTGGGGAGTAATAGTGTGGTGAGAGCAGGCTGCTAGCCGATTGGTTGGCACTAATCTACGTTAAGGTCTAGGTCACTAATATGGGCCGTGAGAAAATATGAACAAGCCTGAGTCAACAACCAATCACAGCAAAGTTAACGTGGCAGAATATGATTCGCAGAGAGAACTCTATTTGTCAAGGAATCCCGAAACAACCAATCAGAAGCCTGCGTTTGTCTACCTAAACAACCAATCAGATGACTGCGCTTGACTATAATAATGTAGTTGAAAGATGTATAAATACGTGTTGATTTTCATAATAAAACGATCTGTTGCTTGGCCCTTGTCTTCTGTTGTTACATTTGGTGTCACTGCCTACCGACAAATGAAAAGCCTATACCCTGCAGTTTTTGATGGAGACATATGGATCTTCGGGCAGGACTTCAAGGCTTCTGCGCAGTTGAGTGGCGTTCAAGATCTGTCAGCGATGGAGCTGCTACTTGAGACGCTGCTGGGAGGTCGGGCGAAAGCAGCATATGAAGGTGTGGGCCGAAGTATGGACGAATGTTCGACAGGGTCAGGCAAACAGTTTCCAAAGTGGGAAGGACCATATATGGTCACTTCGAGATGGGGTTACGCAGACACAGTCGCAATGGCGAACAATGAGAGGCGCGTGAACGTCAGCGAGCTCCAGAAATGGATACAGCGAGACAAGCCAACGATGACGCCTGCACCAAGTAGATCAAGCCGACTTCAGTCGCACGTATTTGACGGGGGGACGAGTGTGGTGAGAGCAGGCTGCTAGCCGATTGGTTGGCACTAATCTACGTTAAGGTCTAGGTCACTAATATGGGCCGTGAGAAAATATGAACAAGCCTGAGTCAACAACCAATCACAGCAAAGTTAACGTGGCAGAATACGATTCGCAGAGAGAACTCTATTTGTCAAGGAATCCCGAAACAACCAATCAGAAGCCTGCGTTTGTCTACCTAAACAACCAATCAGATGACTGCGCTTGTCTATAATAATGTAGTTGAAAGATGTATAAATACGTGTAGATTTTCATAATAAAACGATCTGTTGCTTGGCTCTTGTCTTCTGTTGTTACAATAGTATATTTTGGTTGTCTTCAGCGCGTCTGGTTGTTGTCCTTATTTGGGGTAATTTCCTTTTGGTGCCTGAGCACTCTTGTGAAGTCCACAAAGATAAAAAAATGGATATCAAGCCTAAATTTGATGCAAACATTGGACTACCAACCCTGGTTAAACAGTGTTTACAGTTCGAGCGGACTGTTAAATAGGCTAAGACACATAAACCAACTTCGGACTTCAGTTCACTTATTGGGGGCTTGTCTTCTCTTCTGAGATCAATGACCTCAGTCTGCTCCAGGCTGCTACTGTTTCATCTTGCATCGTGAATACCATGCTCAAAACGGGATGCAGGTGGACTGTTTGCAGCAGCTACTGCCTCTCGCACCACCGTATTTGTGTGGTTTCAGGTCTCTTTTTTCACTGAATTGACCTTCGTAGTTAGTTAGGCTAGAGTATCTTATATGGAATTTCTGACTGCCTTTGGTAGTAAAATTCTTGTGTTTCCCCATGAAACTGCGTAAAACTGGGTCAAGGCGACACATTGGGGATATACACCAGAACCACGCACATAAGTTGTCTCTCATAATCCAGAAGACACCATGATCCTATGACGTCTCGAACGTTTCTTCTGGCATTTCCAAACACGACACATCAGCTTTCTGTGGAGGGAGACCTGTTATCGTGTCAATCTGGTTCGACTTCTGCAGTTTCATTACAGGAAAGTGAAGGCATCCGCATATTAACTCGGCGGGAAAAATGCGCTCGGGTCTTTAGAGCCGCTATGCGTGAGGGGGAATGCAGGTGAGCATTCAAAGTTTCTCTTTACCACTCCGTGTTAAAATCTGATATGAGATAATCGAGGAGGAAATGTGTTACTTATATCCTAAGATCCACTTAAAAGCAAGAATGTTGCTGGCTACAGTAACAGAGGGTGTAATTTACCTTGAGTAACTGGACCACTTCTCAATTTTCAAGTTGAAAGAAATTCCAATGATTGATTATAACTTTTAAAAGGTTGCTCAGGCTATCTACACTATGTCCTCTAAATTCACCTGCTGTTGTTGCAGGCACCAACAAAGATGTTAGATAGTTAAGGAGTATGACAGTCACACCGGCGATAATCGAGTGCTAAAAAATGTAAGATGTGGCGACAAATGAAAGGACTCAGAATCACTTGTTACCAACTGGAACTAGGGATAACCGGAGTCACTACATCAATCATGCCGGTAAACATCGTCAATATTATTGCCATTCAGTTCACCTACTCTGTCACTGGACCAGAATATCCTTCAAGCGCGAACTTTGCTGGCACTGATATATATATATATATATACAATTTGCTTGACAACAAAACTCCCTTCCGAATAATTTGCTCCTGATGCTATAATCAGAAGGATATTTTCTTTCAAAGCTGACTTATCGCTGTTTGCGTAATACAGATGTTTATCAATTTAAGTGTTGAAAAGATACATTGTGGTGCAAAACGTTTTGTCTTGTGGTGAGAGCAGGCTGCTAGCCAATTGGTAGACATGAATTTACCTCAATGTTTAGGTCACTAATGAACTTGGGTTTATCCGTTATGTTCAAAGAAATTTTCTATATTTTTAAACGACTGATAAATAAGGTTAGATTAGTTTGTGTTATAAGTGAAACCAGAATAAAATTACAAGTAAAGTATGAATCTTTCGAGTATCACACAGTCAAATATTTATCTTCAAACATGAATTGACTGAAAAAAATTTTATTTGTTGCTTTCCCAATGTTTTCATGATTTTCGAAGCTTTAGTGGTGGTGGTGTTTTTACGGATAGGGTCATTTCCCTCACATCCAACTTTTTCCTTCCTTTGTGCTTACTATGGTTTGGTAAACAAGACAAAGCGTAAAAGCAAATAAGTTAGGAGCCAAACCCGAACTACAGCTATGGACGGCATGTATTCTACCACTTATTCACCGACGCATAAATTTTTAATGGTCTTTCATACTAAATATTTTAAAAGTCTTGAAAACAATTTTCATGATTGTCTGAAGAAGTGAACAACCGAATTCTATGGGATATTATTGATGAGGAGGACTGTAACAACAGAAGACAAGGGCCGGCAACAGATCGTTTTATTACGGAAATCAGCACGTATTTATACATACTTCATGTACATTATCATAGCTTATTCAAGTAGATAAGCGCAGTCTTCTGATTAGTTGTTTCGGGTTTTCTCGGAAAGTGGAGCCATCTATCCGCGAATCATATTTGCCCACGTTCAGTCTGCTGTGATTGGTTGTTAAGTCACCCTTGTTCATATTTTTTCACGGCCAATATTAGTGACCTAAACATTGAGGTAAATTCATGTCTACCAATTGGCTAGCAGCCTGCTCTCACCACAAGACAAAACGTTTTGCACCACAATGTATCTTTTCAACACTTAAATTGATAAACATCTGTATTACGCAAACAGCGATAAGTCAGCTTTGAAAGAAAATATCCTTCTGATTATAGCATCAGGAGCAAATTATTCGGAAGGGAGTTTTGTTGTCAAGCAAATTGTATATATATATATATATATATCAGTGCCAGCAAAGTTCGCGCTTGAAGGATATTCTGGTCCAGTGACAGAGTAGGTGAACTGAATGGCAATAATATTGACGATGTTTACCGGCATGATTGATGTAGTGACTCCGGTTATCCCTAGTTCCAGTTGGTAACAAGTGATTCTGAGTCCTTTCATTTGTCGCCACATCTTACATTTTTTAGCACTCGATTATCGCCGGTGTGACTGTCATACTCCTTAACTATCTAACATCTTTGTTGGTGCCTGCAACAACAGCAGGTGAATTTAGAGGACATAGTGTAGATAGCCTGAGCAACCTTTTAAAAGTTATAGAAAGTTGTATCATCTGAAGTATTGTCCACCTCCAGGGTGTGTATTAGAGCGTGTTATTACAAATATTGGTACATTTATACATGGTGAATGTCCAGCTACATATAATAACTTATCTAAATCTGTCGATTCTCTTCTACTGAAATCTTTATTTTACTACTGGTAGTAACAATAATTATGCTCACCCTCTTCGTGAGTTTAAAGTGGGTTGGAAGCTGGAGGCTGCTCTTCCACTTAAACCGTATCTTGTACAGCCAGCAACAGTTGTTAAAGTCTTGAACTCACGATATTTTCTAGTCGAATTAGACGATCCACGTGGAAATGAGTCGACAAAATTGAAAAGATCAGATAATTCCAACACTGTCCAGTTTAATGCTTATGCTGGTATGCTAGAAATTGTGCCAGTGAATGAAAGTCAATTAAAAGGCGTATTACTATCTCCACCACCTGGTTGGCCAAAAAGTAGATGCTTTACTTGGATTCATTATCTAACCTATCTGTCTGCTCATGCTGATAAGTGAGAATTAGCTGCAGCCAAAGCCGCTGGTGATTTTCCCCAATTAACGGTTAACCGATGGCCACCTAAAATTAACCGATCATAAGTTCGTTCGGCGGCACGTTCTGCAGCACTTCTAGTAGTGAATTGTATGAAAGCACACCGTTGTTTGGCGTGAAGATTGACAGAACGTAATTCACCAAATTGATAAAAGTGATCACGTAGATCCTTTTCCGTCATGCCTTCAGGAATACCTCCAATATACAAAGTAGTTATTGTACGGTCCTCTGGAGGTGTAAGCTTAGGCATTGAGTCATATTTCGACAGTAATTTGGCTGCAACTGGGTCATCATGACCGTAGTAACGATCTTTCAGGTTTTGTTCAGAAAGTGGATCATCAGGATCCGTAGGCTTTTCATGCCGATAAGGACACTCCTCACCTCTTCTACATTCACCTTTTACCCAGAAAGAGCATATATGCGGACGATTTCTACGATAATACGGGGCGGTACGAGCTAACTTCAACACGACGTCTCCCATACTTGCCGATGAACTTTTGTGGGTAACCGTTGTCGCGTAGGCATTTATCCACAATGGATACCTCTTCCTCAATCTTTTCTTTTGAACACAGTTTCCTCACACGATCAAATAATGTTCTCACCATTCCATTTTTATAACTTATAGGGCAGAAGCTTTTGAAGTTAAGATGAACCGGCCTCCAGGTCTCTTTTCTGTGTATATATCTTATATCTTATGATTCTTCCGTCTATATCTCGTTGGATACCCAAGTCAAGAAAATGGAACTTCTCCTCTTTTTCATACTCCATTGTAAACTTAATATTAGGATGGGCGCTGTTCAAGACTTCTAATACTTGAGATGCATCATTGAAAGAATTACAAATAACGAAAGTGTCATCGACATACTTGGTATAGAAGAGGATTTTAACCTTGTTTTTTCTAGGCTATCAATAAATGAAATCTGCCTGGTGTTCGATAAATCAGTACTCTACCTATATTTTAAGTACTGATGACACGGCGCAGATTAAAAAGACTCTGATAAACAGTAATCTGCTCCTTCAAGCAGTATATTTGGATATAAAAAAGAAGTCAAGATAATTCTGAGAAAAAGGTATAATAACTGATCTTGTTCGAAAGGCTGTACAACCGGTTCAGAGAATGCAACAGTCTCTAACATAAACAGAGAACGTGACAACAGTGGTGTTGGCGCTAGTCCATACGAGTGTACGTTTGAAACAAGTCTTGTTAGTGCACCTATATTTTGGCCAAAATTTTATCACAATATACCACATGTAACAGGAGGAAACGCAAGAATAAACAAACAACTTCTCTCACTTTCGCCAACCTGTCAGAATATTTTATGATCTTACTTGTAGTGTTTGTGACGAAGGGGGATGTTTTAGATATTGAAGAGAACTAACTGTTCACCTGGTGAAATTGATCTACATACTTGAGATGTTATCCATCAATCAAATGACACAAGATATGGATGATGTGAATGGTGTGCCGAAGAGAAAACGTACGAAGGAAGGAAGTAATGAACTCAAGTCTTATTTATTAGTCACATGATTTGTTGATAATTTAGCTAATCGTTTTACTAAAATTGTTCTTTTCTGTGAGGACAGATTGTGCATCTTTACAGCAGAGTTGAAAGGTCATTGTATCTTTTGTCTAATACAACAAAGCAGTGCCATTAACCAAAACAACATGGAATATCAAAGTGCCTGTAACTATTAAGTTAAATAAATAAGTAGACAGCAATGATGTTGAGTTGATTTATTTAACCTGGTATAATCTTGATGAAGATCATGTGTCCAACTGTACAAAATGGTCAATTTTGTCATGGTTATTTCATGCAGTTGAAAAGTCTAGTCTGTGTGTAAGTAATACCAATAAATATAGATGCTGAAAAGTTCTTCAATCGAACTTGTCACATTTGAATAGCACACATGAAAGCGGAGAAGAATGCATGTGCCGAAACCCCAAAGGACGTAAACGTAGAGGAGAAAATCACTTAAGTGAAGGGTAATGGGGATTTTCAGAGTCTGAAAGATAAGGAGTGAATACATATGCATTGCTGTAATTTACTGCAGTCACTTAATTGGTCGGTGGACAAAGTAGCCCGTCACTTTTCACATTTTCATTCTAACTAGGAAGCGTCTCCTTTCTTCCATACTTATTCCCTGAAATTATTTCAGTGAAAAAACTGGAATAGGCAATGATTCGTTTCTAGGCTGATAAATGGATTTTTCTGTTCCAACCCTGTGAAATCTGCGTTTTCGTGTATTCTAATTGTTGGTTTCTTTTTTCCAACTAATGCTCGCTGACTATTTTCGTCCTGAGTTTGTGCATTCTTAGAAGTTGTTCGGACGAAGTTGTCAGGAGAGATGGTAAACATACCGGCTGTATACAAACCAGTTCTTTGTTGGACAGATTAGTTACTTTGGTAGTTGTAAATGTTAAACTTACCAGAATACCTGGTGAAATCTCTTTTGATGTGACAAAACGTTAAAACGAATTATTTATTATTATTGTTCCCTTGAGTTCCGAGTGGAACATAGGGCTTCAACAACACATCTCCACTTTGTCCTATCTTCTGCCGTCCTCTACAGTTTGGAGCACGACTGCCCAAAATCTCTCATCTCCTCCTCATAAGAGCTCTTCCATGTCACCCTAGCACCGACGCCCCACTCGTCATTTCCCTCTAGGATTCCACTTGAGGTACTGGAGCGTGGTGTTATTCGATGGCCTCCTCAATAAATGCCAGATACATCCCTTTTTTCGCCCACATATTAGCTGAGCGATCGGCTCGTGGTTGGTTTGTTCTCCGCCGGAGTTTCTTGTTAGTACTTCTTTCTGGCTGCCTATTTCGCCTTCAGTATGGAGGCAGGGAAGGAAGCTGTTGATAAAAGTCTGCAGTCGGCTGTTGGAAATCCTTTTCTTCACTGATACCCAGCGCAAACTTTTGACCCGTATAGGAAGACCGCATTCACATTGATGTTGAAAATCTGAATCTTGTTCCCTATTCTGAATACAGGAAATTTTAAACTGGTTTCAGGTTGATGAAGGCGTGTGTATCTTGCTTTTCCTATTCTGGCCAGTTTTGACATCTCCATGGGTCCTGGCTGCCCGTATTTGAAACAATGCTTCCTAGATAAGTAAACGCAATAAGTAACCCCTTGTTAAATCTCTCCCTCTGGTGGTGATTGGTGCTGGTTGTTGTTGTTTTTGTCGTTGCTGTTCGTTGGGTATCTTAATCACCTCCGTCTTCTCTGCCTGCCTCTCCTGCCAGTTTGTTAGTTTTCACCTGCCTGTAAGTCTTCGAGTTTATGTGACATTAGATGTATATCATCCAGGAGCGAAATCCAGATCTTCTAGAGTCTTCTCATCGGTGGTCCAGCGTACTCCTGTCTCCTCACTTCCATGCACAGTCTAACGCATAATCCAGTCTATCACAATTAAGAATATCATCGTCGGTGATAATAGGCAGACCGCCTGTCTTACTCCTGTGTTCACTTCGGACGCCTCGCTGAGTATCCTGTTATGGATCCCCTGATTAACGCGTGGCATTGTCATATAGCCAGCTGCTGAATGAGGTTGATAAAGATTTGGGCACTGCACGCCGTAGTGTCGAAGTAACTTCCGAATGGCGTCTGATATTCGCAATTCTCATGGGACAAAAAGACGCGGTTTCCAATTGGAAACATCTCATAGTAATAGTTAGGCTTACATGAATCATTATACTTGCAAATGTAGGAAAGAACTCGTGCTATTTTTCAGTCTTTTTAGATCCTCTTCCATAGTTTGCAGTCTAGCCATCCTTTTAGGATCAAACTGATCTTTTTCTAAGGTATTTATATGGATGCGGGATAAGGCATCTGCTACCTCGTTTTTATGTCCTTCGACGAATCTAAAATCTGAAGTAAACTGAGAAATGACCTCGAGGTGCCGGAGCTATATAGGTGATTATTTATCGTACTTCGCTTTAGTTAAAGGTTTGTGGTCTGTGCAGATGGTAAGCGGTATTCCTTCAAACATATGAAGAAAATGTTTAAAAGCAAGAAAGACTGATAGTATTTCTCTATGGAATGCGCTATATCTTGATGGGGTACCGTCTAGACGTTTGGATAAAAAGGAGAGAGATTGCCATTTTCCAGCAGAAAACTTTTGAGAAACTGCACCGACGGCTACGTCGTAAGGGGACTGCCTAAGGAGCTCAGTAACATAACAAATATGGGAATAAAAATCCAAGTCAATGAGATGAAAGTGTAACAATATATTATCAAAAATGCAGTAATGAGTTATATTAATTAAAAGGTTACTTGGATATACTGTTAAAGGCCACTGCTACAAATTATTAATATGATCCACTGTTGGAATCATGTCTATTAGTAGAAGCTGTGTGCCGGTTGTAGAATTGTCTTTGGATAAGGATAATAGGTTCCTGCAATAAATCCAAAGTATACAACACGGTATGAGTGGAGCAAGTAGACAGTAATGACCGGTGAGAAGGTGAATCTACCAACAGTATACTGCACTTAAAATTGTACTCGGAAGTTATATGTATTTAAACATGAATCGTTTTAAACAAGAGTCATGCACAATGTCACTATTTTCAACATCTAACAAAAAGTGTGCAGTCATATTGGTACGTACTCCATACGGCTCCCCCCTAGAGGTCCGGAAAGTCTACCGCAGACTTTCACTGTTATTGAAGTAAATAATAATATTAATAACCATTTCTAGGATAAAAATAAGGATACATAATTACATGCGTGTACGCGAAAAGGTATTTGGATCGTGTAAAGTTTGAACGTGTCCCGCTCGTAAGATTTAGATATGATAGAGAAGATTTGTAGCTCAGGTGGATAATTTTGATGTGGTTTTGGTCTCTGAGCTGGATGGTTAGTTTGCGAAGCTTTCATACTTCAATTTGAAGTATGCGCTGAAGATGTCACCCAGTAGGGCGATGAAAGCTTCGCAAACTAACCATCCAGCTCAGAGAACAAAACCACATCAAAAAGTTTGAACGTATTTACAAATAGTTCAACAACAAAAATTGAAATAGAAGTTCATGTCAATTAAATGGGGTTGGTTTCTCTTTGCACAAACCATGAACAAAGATTTTTAATGTATAAACAAAGATATCTATGTACACAGTAATTAAAGAGGGTAAAAAATAGATTGAAAATTGATCGTTTCTGAAAAAAAAACAGTACTTGTTTTGTAGCTGAGGTACATACAAATAAATAAATAAATAATAGTGATAGTAATCTTTTATAGTAACAGTGACATCAAAGTGTACTAAGGAATAGTAATTGTCATGATAATAATGTCTAAACGATATAAAATGTAATTTTTTTTATCAGTCCACAAAATGAACGTAGCTAGCCGATTTACTGATCTGCCGACTACTACGTGTTTGATGTGGAGGATAGATAAGAATTGGTGTTGAAAATACGATGATTTTAATATCTTACTTCAAACTGAAGATAAGAATTGATGCCATTGGAGTGGAATCAACTGTCTAACTATTTGGTTGTGCAGTTGTTGATGTAGCTTCAAAGTCGCTGTCTGTGTAGGCCGGTTTGATTCGATCAATGGAAACAAACTCCCGTTTTCCATCTTTTTCACTGTAAAGTGTATGTCTGAAAGTTTAATGACTTGGAAGGGACCTTGGTATGAGGGTTGAAATCCCTTTCTGGTGGTGTCGACTCGAATGAAGACGAATTTGCAAGTTTCCAGGCGTTTGTTGATCTGATCTCGCCCGAGCGACTGTCGAGGTGCTGTTGGTTGAAGTTGGAGCATTTGTCTAGTTATTCGGTTGGTGAAGTCAGCAATCTTCACATCCGTCGAATCGGCTGAGGGAACTAGCTGTCTAGGCAAAGTTAGGTTGGTGCCATAAACGAGTTGTGCCGGTGTACATCCTAAATCTTCTTTAATAGTAGATCGGATACCGAGTAAAATAAAAGGTAAGTATTCACTCCACTTAGATGTATCATTCTGTGCAATGAGGGAGCTTTTCAGCTCTCTGTGGAATCTTTCCACAAGACCATTCGCTGTCAGATGATAGGCTGTTGTGGAGATATGTTTCACTCCCAATAATCTCGTTAGTTCACAAAACAGTGTCGGTTGGAATTGAGCACCTCGGTCGGATGTAATAGTAGCTGGTACACCGTAATTTGACACCTGACAGTCGAGAAAAACCAAAGCAACATTTTCCGCAGATATATGGTTTAGGGGGCATGCAATAGCCCAACGAGTAAATCTATCGATGGCTGTCAGGATATGTGTATATCCTCTTGACGTTGGTAATCGTCCTACAATGTCCATATGAACATGCTGAAATCTCTTGTCCGGTAAATCAAACGTCTTCGGAGTTGTAACAATGTGGCGATGTACTTTGAAGCATTGGTATTGGAGACATTCCCGTGCCCATCTCCGAATGTTAGAGTTTATTCTAGGCCACACGAGGCGTTCGCTGATAAGTCTGACCGTGGCACGTACTCCAGGGTGAGAATGCAAATGTAAGTGTTCAAATAACGCTTTTCGGCATCTGGGAGGAACACTGGACGGTTAGTACCGGTAGATACATCGCAAACTACAGTTGCATCTGATATGGGAATAGGTACGTCCCTGAACTGTAAGCAAGAGTTTCCGCGACAAGTTAGGAGTTCTGCGTCGTCTGATTGATGTCTACTGAAGTTTCGAGCTGGTTTATGTCACCTCTTGAAAGAGAATCAGCTACGACATTTGCGTCCCCTTTGATGTATTGTATGTCGGTTGAAAATTGGGAGATATAGTCCTACTTTCTGGCTTCTCTGGGAGAGTATTTTTCCAGTGAAGTAGTGAGAGCATAGCTAAGGGGCTTGAGATCAGTAAAAATTGTGAAAAAAGGGGTTCAATAATGGCGAATCAAATCCACGGCTCAGTGAAACCAAGTGGAGGTAGAGGCAGGTCGATTATTGCGTTGATTGTTGAGTCCTGTGCCTCGTCAGTCTCAGGTGCAGCAAGTAAATGTGTGGGTGAAGACATGAGTATTATGTGAATGAGCGATCTATGGGCAACCAATGAGTCAACTGATGTGCTATGAAGCATCTGTGTTTTTATTGGGAAAAGTGAAAGCATTTCAAATTTGTGGATAAATTGTGGTAAGTTCATCGTACATTTCTCTATCCATTCAGTCTTTCAGTTACAAATAAATTTTCGTTGTTTTGACAATGTTTTGAGTACATGATTATGTTTACTGACTATTCATCCCCTGTTTGTTTTTTCCGCGAAAACACTCAGTGTTTGCGAATGTATTTAAAGCAGTCAATTCTTTTTGAGTTTTTTGAATGAGTACATGAATCAAAAACAAACAAGTTTCGTGAAAGCCTTACTTACATGACAGCTTTAGGTGTGCATTCAGTCACAGATTCTGTGTGATTTTGCGACTCAGTGGAGGATGATTCATCCGTCACTGAATAACGGTGTCGTAACCCTATTTTATCAATTCAATACTTCTCTGTTATCGGTTGTCTGGAAACGGTTTCCAACTTTATGTTTTTATAAAGTTGAAATTCTCAGTAGGCGAAATAATTATTAATATTTACTAAGTGGCTTGAGGAATCCTTAATAAATGTCTGTGATGACCAATGATATATGGTGTTAGCACTTTTCCTTGATTACTGCAATCTCTGAAGAAGTTCAATGTTCTGCCTGCTTGCCACTTCACAGATTGTCTATGCTTGTCGTCTGTCTCGGCATTCGAATGTAATGACCAATATATATTTTTACTTGACCAGCGGTGTTGTGTAGTATATTTTTTCATTTAGGTTGATTATTTATTTAAGAGACATTTTTTCGCAGATGTTAGGGTAAAGTTTTCTAGGAAAGGCATTCTCTTCCGCTTCCCTTGATAATTCACTTCAACAGGATTTACTATGCCTGTATCACATGAGGGAATCTGATTTAAGTCTGCAATACCAAGTCATCCGTTGGCTCAAGATGAAAAATCGCCTAATAATCAAGAAGCCAGCTAGCTATTCCCCTATAAGGAATAATTCACACTGTGATGAAGTCGATTGCGCTCTCCATTGATAGCACGGTTTTTTTATACGTATCGATCAGTATATGAAGACATGGGTGATTTTATTTCTTCACGCAATTTTTATTAATTTTCAGTTTTTGAATTCTAATAGTGCTTCAACTTTACTACAAATAATGACAGAGACTGGAAAATAGGGTAATCTGCCTGATTACTAATCACATATGACTGCGCGATTTCGACCAATTATCATGCAGTTTGCATGATTAGTAATCACCTATGACTGCGCGATTTTGACCAATTATCATGCAGGCTGCATGATTAGTACTCACTTAATTGTTTCAAATATTACTACTACTTTCTGTTTAGTCATTTTTCATTTCGTTATGGATCGTGTGAGTTAAATAACTGTAGGCTGTATTAATTGCTTCAGTCAATTTCCTTAGAGTGTGGACTAATTATTTACGAACATTATGGGGTATAACATGACACAATTGAAGAATGATTTCATGTTTCTTATAAAATTGAAACAAGGAAGTATCTCTCCTATTTATTACTGGGGTGGAGAAATGATCCTGGTACTATCTGAAATACACCATTCCCAATGAGCTTTTCTGCAAAACACCATCTTACCATCTACTGCCATATTCCACATCTGTGTCCACCCATTATGTCAACTCTTGTAGCTTATTCAAGTGTAGAATTGTCTTCATTGATTCTCAATTAATGGGATTATTGTATTGTACTTATTGTATTTCCAGAATGGCGAAGCTGAACCTGCTCAAAATGTCCAGCAGAATCGTTCTTCCACATCTAATTCTGATGATTTTGTTCACAGAATATCTGCTGGAGTAAATGAACTTCGTTGGTATGTTTTCTGTGTTTCAGAGTATTTTTTGTATGCTATTGTTTGACGTTTTGAAGGTTAGTGTTGCGTTCATATTAGTATTGTCTTGTTATTTTCTGCTTGATGTTAAACCGTTGAATAAGAGAGACATGAGGGTTAAGCGCATTGAGTAAGTGTTTACATTATTATGTCTAATGTGTACCGTTTATAATATTTATAAACAGATTTCAATTTCCGAAGTAATAGTTAATTGAGTTTATGTATCACCCTGCTAATATGACTTGTATGGTTCGTTTTCTTTTCATCAGTCAGCACTGGGGTTATGATGTCGTTTTAATAGCAAACTCAGAAGAAATACACGCCACAGATTCATCCTGGCAGCCCATTCACCATACTTCGAAGCCATGTTTCGGTGCCCAATGAGGGAATCGCGTTCAAAACACATCGAGCTTCATGGAATTGAAGCTACCACACTTACTCAACTAGTTGAATATATGTATACTAGTGGTATGTTCACGATTAGTGTATATTGTTAATGTAAAGTTATATATTATCGAGTCTTTCGATTGTGAATTCCACTGCAATAAACAGCAATATATTCTGACAGAAAACAACTACCGTTGTTTTTAGACAATCAATAAGACTCCTAACTTAGTCTACTCTGTAAACATGATTATTTACAATGCTGAACGAACTGGTGATTTTTGGAAGGGTGAGACTGGATTCTCAAAGGCACTACCACTGACTCATCAAGATGTCTTACCTCATGTATGTTCTATTCGCTTTTAAACGTTGAGTGTTTGCAGACTTAGTTAATTTTTATGCAGATTTCTTCACAAACCACCACCAGTTGTGAAAAGCAGGTAGCACTGGACAGATGTTTCGTCCTAGTGTGCGACTCGACTGAAGTGTGATTTCCAGTGGAATGCTTTATTGCTTTGTGGTGACATCTACACTGACAGTCGTATTTATGCTCCCTAAAGTATCATATAAATTACTTAAAGATAATTATTGTTCAGGGTAAAATATTTGATCACATGGCATACGTGAGGTACTCATATCTCTTAGGCTCTTTAATTTCAAATTTTCATGCGTCTATGTGGTCCTTTGTCTTACGTTATTTTAGAAATCATTGTGACAGAAGACAATGTGCAAACTCTCTTACCAGCTGCAGACTTTTTACTGATGAGAGCTGTTCGTGAAAAATGCTGTGAATTTCTCGAATCACATCTTCATGTCAGTAATTGTTTGGGTATTCGAAAGTTTGCTGTTTTCTATAACTGTTCCAGTTTACGTAGGTCCTGTGAAAGCTTCATAATACGCAATGTCAGGTACGTTTATTTCTGATGTGGTTTTGTTCTCTGAGCTGGATGGTTAGTTTGCGAAGATTTCATCGCCCTACTAGGTGACATCTTCCCAAAATTTGACTTTCATGAGTGTTTCTGTCATTAAATTGATTCGTATTTGATTTTAAACTCCTAACCTACACACTACAATGATTGGGTGGCTTATTATCCGTCAGCATGAACAACCTTATCAGTTTGAGTAGTGAGATCATCCGTACAGCACTAGGGGTCATTTAGACGATAAAGTGATTCCAAAAGTTCCCTTAAATAAGACTTTCGAAGAGTGGCAGTATTTTTCCGCGGTTACCACCTCCTACCTATTAGGTAAGAAAATTGAGGACAGTTCAGCGGAGAATATTTGCTTTATTTAAGATGTCATCTCTAGAGGCTGAACATCAAGTAAATATTTTCGCTGAGTCAAGTTTCATTTATTTAAGCAGGAGACTTCAATAATTTGTGGGAAGGAAAATAATATACCTAGTATCTTGTGTTTAGAATAGACCATGTTTGCTGCATCTAACTTTCCATTCAGAGAAGCTTTACTAATCTCTATTTTCTGAATATTAACCATCCATCTTCATTTCCGTTTCAGTGAAGTACTCAAAACAGAGGAGTTCACACGATTGAATCCAGATGAACTTTTGGAATTTGCTTCTATCTTCGCCTCAAACATCCCATTGCGCAACGACCTTCGAGCGTATGCTGAGTTCGTTCGTCAAAGTGTAAATGAACAACGAAGATAACTTCAAAGAATTGCATGAGATGTTCGATCTTCTTTTTTCGCACAGAAAAGTCAATGGCTTTTTCAATTCTTAGGATATATTTTATTTCGGTTCTTAATCATTACTTATTTCTCTGACAACGCCGACCACGAACCACCTGCCAACATTCAAATTGACAAAATCCTAAGCGGTGACTGATTCTTTCTGGTGATGTTGTCATTGATATTTTTTTTTTTGCTACTATTTTTGTCAGTGCGAAATACATGCAATTCTACCAAATATGAGATTCTGAATTCTGTCCTCTCTCCTCCGTTTTGTTGAGTGGTTTATTGGTATTCAATCTATGCGGAGTGCAATTAAAAACAAACGTTACATTTTGGTGTTGCTTTGGTGAGCTTCGTCTCCAGATTTACCGTGTTAAATCCCAGATTGTGTTAAATGCTCTGATATAAGCAGTTTGTCTAAGAATATTCGAAATGGCAAAACTGCAGTTCACTTCACTAATACTGTTAGACTAAAAGCACGTAATCCACTGAAGGCTCTCTTATTTATTTGTTACAAATAAACCGATTTCATGTGGGGATATCCTCAGTGTTACATACGAAGCCAGGCAGTTTTCAAACTTACCCCATTGGTAAGTCCCGTTTATAGTCTACCACAGCCAAGAATGGCTTATTGTGAATTTGTAAGAATGTACAAGTAAAGCCGATCACTGATTCACTTACGAATACTGTTCGTGACAATCTACCTCTTGTTGATAGTGTCAACATCCCTTTGAAATCTTAAATTCGTAACAATTAGAACCTATCATAATAATAATAATTATTATACTGGCAGTAATTAGTTCAAAAATGCATAAGTAGTATCAAATTAGACTATTGGAGGTAGAGAGTGACCGGTGAATTCCGAAGAATAAGTCAGAAAATAGGTTGTCATTTGTACAACTTATGCTTAGTACATTGGTCGGTTATGCAGGGGAATTCAGTCGACTTAAGAATGCATACATTGAGCATTTAATACTGAATATTGTTTCTTCCGACGACTCAATAACTCATCTGTTGTTTTCTGTGATCTCCGTTCACAGTTTGTTATTAGGTTGCAGTTTGTGGGAAATACTTTTTCTCTCTGAGATACAGTACAGTGTCAAAATACATAAAGCCATGCATAGGTTAACAGACGAACGAGGTATCCTGCTGCTACTTTCTTTAGCTTAGTGTTATACGGTACCAGGATGAGTGAAAGTATGTGCAGGAGTTTGAAGTATTCGCGCCGCATATTATTACAATCTCGACTTCAGCTTTTTATCCATCTGGCCTGGAGAACAGAATGCATCATTTGCATACACTGCAGCTAGGCATCTGTTGCAGGCACTCATACGTCCATACAACGTTTGTGCTTGTACGTATATATATATATATATATATAATATATATATATAAGTGTTACTTGCATCCTTGTCCTTGAATATGTTGATCTAAATAAAACCCTTGAAATATTTTATAATACTCATCGATCAGTTGGTTTCACTGAAGAAATAAAATCAGAAGGAGGATTTCCAGTTTTCGATTTCAGTTCGAGTTGAACTGATGGAGCAAGCGAGAGATCAGTTCACTGTAAATCCGAATAGAATGGGGTGCTGACAAACTTCGATGGGTAGGCGTGATCATTAAAATCTCGAAGAGGAGAAACTGCACAACACCTTGTCCTTATACATCATTCCGCAAAGATAGCTACACCACACTTCCAAACTTCGCCTACATATTTTGGCGAACTGAATTATTTCATGGAGTTGTCCATCATACTAACTTGAATACAAGAACAAAAGGTTCAGAGAAGAGTCGCTTTTCGGCGAATTCATTCACTTAGCTGTACAATCGCATTTGTGCGTCGGTGGCACAGTGGTTACGACTCCCGCCGACCATGCACATGTTCCGAGGTTCGATCCCCTGCCTACGCACACCTGATATCCATGGTCGACGGGCAAAACTTGGGCTACCGATATCCATGCTGAAAATTCCATACTTGTACCAAAGATACAGTATGGAATCAAGCTGTAATCAAAAATAAAAAATGAAAAATAAGTTATTTCGTGTGTGTGTGTGTCCGTGTCTGTGTGTGTAGGTTAGGATTGTCAAACAAGCATACAAACTAGTCAGCGTTATTGTTTACGTCATCAAAATGTTTCTGAAATGTGGTGAATAGTCAAATTTCAACTGTGTACCCACCCAGTCATCTACAAAGTCGAAGGAAGCATCCGTAGAATGTTAATTTTCCTTATACTTTGCACTGTCGAGGCCTTAGTGATCCGGATAGAAAACCCTGATTTATGTACACAGAGGAAACTTTTCCACGCCCTCCTTGTGCCTTGGGCATAATTCCAACTTCTATTACTTTGTTAGTAATGCTTTTCCGAATTTTCGTATGGCTTATTATTAACATCTTTTATTAACCAACCCTTTATTTACTCTTCATACCTATTACATGATTTATTTTCGACAAACGTCTGTATGCACTTTCATTAACATGCTATTTTTCTGTGTGTCTTTCATATCTCAATACTTACCAATCTTAAGCACTCCTCCCTCATCCACCCAGTTAGAATTTGATTATTCACCACATTTCTGAAACATCTTGATGACGTAAACAATAACGCTGACTAGTTTGTATGTTTGTTTGACCATCCTGACCTACACACACACACACGAGATAATTGCATACAAATGCAATTGTACAGCTAAGTGAATGAATTTGGCGAAAAGCGACTCTTCCCTGAACCTTTTGTTCTTGTATTTGTGTCTGGAATGGTATTCTTCGTGACTGTCACACTAACTAACCATTTAACAGTTGTACACTCCAAATATGAAAAATGTACCGGTTTTGGATTGTTTCATATTCCGTGTTTCGTTAGACATAGAAAACGCTAATTTTAGTATAAGCGGTGGGTTATTATGCTCAGAAAGCAATCAGGAATAGAGAAATGATAACCAACTGAAGATATGCCAAAATGGGATGTAGCTGAATTTTGTTAACTTAGCGTAAGAACTCACTTGAGTTAGGTGTGAGTTGTCACCTAACACAGTGTATTGAGATGAAAATGGTTACTACTTAGAATTGGTGTATTTCATTGTTTCACTGCATACGCGTGAGTTATCAGGCTCTTGAATCCAAATGTTGCAGCCAAATCTAATAGAATCCACTGTCCAAGTAAATATTCACTGAGGAGAAAATATATACTATGTATTTGTATATTGTGAAGAATTAAAATATACCACTTAGAGTTACTTCTATGTTCCAGAAGATCAATCTACAGCGGTCTAATGCATGATTTAATTTGTCATGTTTGTTGAATTCTTTATATGACTTTACAGCCATCATGTGTAGTCCGTTCATTTCTTCTTCACGTATTCAGTTACCCGAACCACTTCATCAGTCATCTGTTGAGAAATACTCAACACCTTGATTGAATGGTGAATGTCAGCAGTGAATTGTCCGGAAAGAACTCACAATGGTTACTCCTATGCAATTATGTTTCTTCACGTAAATCGGGAAACCAGTTTTCTGACGTAAAAGATTATTAGAATCACAGCCATCGTACTTTATTGTTGGAAGAAAGCAGGTTGAATGCTATGAATCCTTACATGCTGACAGTATTGACGTTCACGTTTAGTGCGAAGTATACTAACATAAGATCTAATACCCACAACTTCCATAGTATTCGTTCCGCGGACACCAAAGGCAAAGCAAAACTCAATAGTTAACCGTCCAAATTACGAGATATATTTCGGGACGAAATCGGAGTGTGAGATTATTGCTTAGCTAGCTAGGGATCGCTCACGAACGAACGAACGTGACACGACGCAGTACCAAATGGCGCGGATGCTTGACCGGAAGCCTTCAGCTAAACAATTTGACCAAAACAGTGAGGGTCAGCATCCAATGTTCATTGATGAATGCTGTGGCCAATAATATTGGGGAATTATTTACTGCTACAAATCTCTGATATTCAATTTTAGAATTATGAACTTAGGCATTCATTCAGTCGAACTGGGTTGACGGGTAAGATTCTATTCATCAAGAAACTAGCAACCTCTACTGTCTGAAGTGATTGTCTTTTGTCGAAGTTCGTCTAAATAAAGCTGAAATCGCTTGAACAATTCGGTAGCTACCTGAAGAGAATGTTGGATTATAGTTTGGAAAATTCACCATGGCGTCTAGTGTAAAATGAAAATGGGTTGATCACAGTGTAATCACAGAATGTGAACCATCTAAATCCGTAAATATTTTGAAATCTACTCAGTACACTGAGTAGACATCGGCAAAGACAGATAATCATCTGTATAGTGTGGATTAGCTTATCTCGGTGGCCCTCTTTTATCAATTGAGGCAGCTAAACTGATTCCAGTAAGCCTCCAGAGTGATGACACAGAAATACTGCCCATATGTCGCCCGAGATAGTCTTCATAACAACTGTCAAAATCGATGAATCACGAGAGGAGGAGACGAAAAGAAAGAAATCCGGAGAGTAGGTGATGTCTGTCAGTTAGCGTTTCGGATTAATAAATAAACGACTTTAACGGTTGAGTGAGATGGACTATGACAAGGATACATGTTTCTTAAATGTAACGTGAGAGAGTCTAGGGACACTGGGAATGACATCTCAACTTACTGACAGATGCCCAAATGCTGCCCAGTAAAAGAGAGAATGTGAATTGAGTAACAATACTCCAAATATGACCACAATCACTTAGACCATCTACAATCTAAAACTGGACAAAATAGAGAGACAAAAGGCGTTTCATTCAGAAATCTTCCGGGATAAGCAAGCTTCGAAAAACCACTTATCATCGGAATCTGTGAGAGAGTTGAAAAGTCTCCTTGTGCAAGTGAATTAAAATGCACAAGTGTAGGAGAATAACTCCACACAATGATTTTTCACCTGGAATATGATGATGAAGGCGATTCTTTTTATTTTTGTGAATCTGTGGAATTTCTAACGTTGTTGTTGTTCTTCACACGCTTTA